AATAAAATCTTTTTTTTAAGTTGTCTTTTTTAAAAAAATTCCAGTGATAACTGGGAATATTTTCCCCTCTCCACTTTCCAGGTCCCAGCTTAGTTCCTCAAGGAAGCCTTCTCTGAGTCTCTCTACTCTGTCAGTACCCCCCCCGCCACCTCTTCATCCTCTCCCATCCCATACCTGTTCTGGTCCTGGGCCGTGTGCCCCCCCACCTGGTCCTTACCTTCTCTTCTCTGCACTGATGACCGATCTCTGCAGCCTCCCAGGTTAAGGAAAGGAGACTCTTCGTCCCTCTTGGTCTTGAGTAATGTCTACGGAAGGAGTTGTGTCTCCTCTCTGGCTCCAACTTCTTCCAAGAGACCCTGGCCCCCAGCCATGGATTACACTGCTTCCCCCTCAAGAACCTCCAGCCCAGGAGTAGCAGTGGATTCCTGATTACCTTGCCATCTCCTCCTGGGCTTCTCAGCAATTCCATCCTTTTTGTAACCAACTCCTGGCATTAATTCCTTGCATGTTTACAAACTCAGACTTCTCCCTCCCCAGTAGGACCCTGCTGGATACACTACATTCTGTCCTCCCTCTCGTTGCCTTCATCACCTGGAATGACTCAAGTCCTCATCTGGAGTCACTTGGTCAAAGTCTGTCCACCCACTAGACTGGAAGCTCCCTAAGGGCAGGGAGAGGTCAGGAGGTTCTGCACCCCCAGGACCTGACACAGTAGGGGCACAGAGCACCGCATTTGTGGTGTCTGCAGATGCGAGCTGGGACGAGGTCATCTGACCAGTGGGCGATTAGTGGGGGTCCATGGAGAGCAGGGGTGGTGAGCCAGGAACCAGACAGCAAGGGGTACAGGCAAGTGGGAGCTGAAGCAGACACCCAGAGTGCCAAGAAGTTTGGGAGTTGGGAGGGGAAAGAAGGTTGGGCCAACAGTGTAGGGGAAAGTCAGGACAGAGGGTTTTTCAATTATTATTTGTCTGTTTTTTTGGCTGGGGAGGCTTGATCACATTTGGAGGTTGAGAGGAAGAAGCTAAAGGGGAGGAGGTCAAGGGCGGGAGAAGCTGGGACACGGTGGGTGGAGCACATGATCACAGTGGTCTCCTAGGAGGATTAAAGCCACCAGAAGGGTTGAGGGTGGTATGGAGGGGAGAGTGGAGGCAGGGAGGGGAGCTAGGAGGGGATAACCAATTAGGAAGTAAGAAGAATTTGCGTCAAGCCTTAACCCAGGGCTCCCTAAGAGGGCTCCCAAGTTGGGAGAGGTATCAGAAAGGATGCCCGGGACCTGCTCTTGGTAAGGTCATCTTTGCCCAGTGCCCCACAGAGACCCCCAACCTTCCTTCCATCCTTTGTGGAGATGGGCACCTGTTCTTACCCACATCACCATGGCTCCTCCTCTTCTCCAATAACTCTATGGTTCGCCATGCCCCCTTCCATCTCCCATGTGGGGAGGAATTGGTGGGAGACAGCCAAAGTAAAACCTCCTCTCCCCCAGGAACATCCACCCTCAGCCCCCAGTCATCTCTGATCTCAGCCTCACATCTGAGTTCTTCTCAAGTATAGCATCAGGACCTCACAGGAATTTGGGGCCCGAGACCCACAGACACTCAGATGATTCACTAGCCACTTCTCACTACACATGGCTGGACACCGTGAACTGCGCTGACTAAGGCAATAAAACCCCGAATATAATTTCCTTTTTTCCAAAGCAAACAGAAGAGGAAAAATGATCAAAGGAGTTCCAAGCATTGTCTCATTGAGGCACAAAAGGCACTCACTCTTCTACAGAACTGATGGGCAAATGGCTCCTTGAAGCCCAAAGGCTCCTTGCAGAGTCCTGCATGCAGAGGGGGCCAGGGGCCCTGGGGCCACACCTGGTTGGAATCCCAGCTCTCTCTCTTTTTTTCCAAAGATTTATTTATTTTAGGGAGAGAGAGAGCATGCACACGAGCGGGGGATAGGGAGGAGCAGAGGGAAAGAATCTCAAGCAGACTCCCCACTGAGCATGGAGCCCCAAAACGGGGTTTGATCTCATACCCCTAGATCACAACCTGAGCTAAAAGCAAGTCAGATGCTTAACCAACTGAGCCACCCAGGCGGCCCCCGCTTAACTGTTACAGCAAAGTGACCTTATGCAAGTCACATCTCTCTGAGCCTCAGTTTGCTCATCTGTGAAATGGGGGCGATAATAATAGTACCTACTCTATGGGGTTAGACTGTAAGTGTTCTCAATTGGGGGGGGCAATTTTGCTTCCTTGGCGACATTTGGCAATGTCTGGAGACATTTTTTGTTGTCACAACTGGCTGTAGGGGTGGTGTTACTGGTGGCCAGTGAGTAGGGGTGCTCTTTAACATCCTACAATGCATATGACAGCCCTCCACAACAAATTATCCAACCCCAAACCTCTATAGTGCCAGGTTGAGGAAGCCCATACTAGAGTGAATATTCAGGGAGGCCACACTCACACGAAACACTTAGAAGTGTCCGGTTACACTTTTGCAAGTTCTCAAAAAACAGAAGCTGCTGTTCTTTTTAGGAAGAGCACAGTTTACCCCTTTTCCAGACCTGAACCATTGGGGCAGGATATGGAAATCCTTGAGTGCTGAGAAACTGGCTCACTGCTCCAGGTGTGAGTCACTCTGTAAATGTCAATTTCTTTTATTTAAAGCAGAGCCGGGGCTGCACAAGTGACTCAAGGCTAGAAGCCTTTCCAGGTTACCGTGACTTAACTGGCTGGACTGGGAGGAAGAGATTTTGCCCTGAAGCTGTCCTTCCAGGAGGTGCAAGCATCTCAAGTTTTAGAGATTCCAAGGTGCTCACCGGGAGTGGGAATTGTGTTGTTTCACCTCATCCCACACACAGTAGGGCTTGGAGAGGCCAGAGAAAGGTAGCTGAAACCAGGAAGTCCCGCTTGTCCCCAGGGTCCTCCTCACTGGTCTGTAGGGGTTTGTCCCTCTGCCGCAACCTGATGCGAAATTCTTTCTTGGGAGTTGCAGCTCTGGGTCAACAGGTCACTCTCTCCCACTGATTCACATTAGTGTTAGTGGATAGATTTAAAGTCAGATCATCAGGATGGGGTGGTGAATGCATGCAGGGGACCCAAACCCAAAGAAGTGTCAAGGGAAGCTGGGTAAAGTACGTGGGCATTGGGTGTCTTAAAGGAATGATGGCAAGCCAGGGAGCGTCTGGAGACTCTGGGCCCATGCCCACGTCTTTCCTGAGAAGTGGTGTGCCCAGAGGCAGAACAGGTGGTGGGAGAGGCAAGCCGAGGATCCAGGCTTACTGATACCAACCTGAAAACCACCATCTCGCCAAGCTCCACCTCCCGCAGAGTGACTGACATGAAAAACCCTGGGGTGGGCAGGAGTTTTAGGCGACCCCAGCTTCCTTCTTGTCCACCATCTCCGGGTCAGTGGCAGAGCTGGTTATGCACGAGAGACTATCCAGCTCCAAAGCACGGGCATTATGAGGACCACAACTTCAAATGCTTCGGGGGCCAGACAGATGACATAGCTAAGTGGTTGGATATAAGATAACACATGCAGAGGCTGGGAGGAACTGCAGGCTCTGCTCTAAGGCATTCAAAAAAAAAAAAAAAACACAACATTCGGCCAGCCAAACAAAACATATCTGTGGCCTGAGTGTGTGGGTGAGGCCCTTAGGTTGTGAGTTTTCGACCCCTGACTAAATAAATGGTCTTCCCTACCCCCCCAACAGAGATCTCCAAAAATAGGCTTTGAGCTACCACCGACTGTCTGAAAATGAGAGCTCCTGAGCAGGTCTTTGCTCTAACACCTCCAGAGATGAGATGGTCCTTACTTCCCAAGACAACCTAGGATGGGGCCTGCCTGCCCCCACCCCTAGAGCCAGTTACCAGACCTGCCTGCCATAGACCGCTGAAGGGGGTGTGGTGCCCCGGTGGGGGGGGGGACCTCTTACTCTGCAAACTGTTCTTAAAAGTTTGTAATTTTTTATTACAAATAAAAGATAAGCTCACTGTGGACACACTGGAAAATACAGATACGCAAAAGTTAGAAAAGAAAAAATACCCCGACCTCCCTAACCACTCCCCCTTCCCCCAGTCAGAAAGAAGCACTGGTGACACCTTGGAGCATGTTCAGATTCCAGGTTCCTTTTCTCGCATAGGTAAAGTTCGAGTCTTCTCTCTGGCCCTGTGACCTGTAAACCCAGCTGGGAGATGCTTCGTGCAGCGCTCCCACCACGTTGCTTCTCTGGCTGTACAAAGGTGTTGCACCAAACCATCCACAAGCTCTCTCATGAGACCTGGGTTTCAACATACAGGTCTGACCCATTAGGCCCTAGGCTCCCCAAGTTTCTCAAGGGAAGGCACCAGAACCTGTCTTACTCGTCCTCGGGAATTCTACAGCGCCGGGCACACAGTAAGTGCTCAATAAAAGTGCTTCTAAGCCCCCCGCCCGCCCCCCTCCCCGCTCCCCGCTCCACACCTTCCTCAGCCGCCCAGGGCTAAGTGCAAAGAGGAAGCAGAACCAGACCCAGGAGGGAGAGCGCCTCGCCGTCTCCAAGGTAACCTGAGTCCAAGGCTGGGGTGCCCACGCATGCGCACACTTGACCTTCCTTCCCGTAACCTCCAGAAGCACGCAACCCGTAAAAAAAAAAAAAAAAAAAAAAGACTGCCAGAAGCCCAATGCGCATGTGTGGTTACACCAACACCCTGGCCGCCTCCGCCTTCTGTCAATCTGTCCGCCTAGCAATCTCGGCTCTATAAACACTGTCCGGAAATAGTGCCCATTTCTGGAAACGAGGCCCTCCTAGCCAATCTCTGCTAGGGGCTGTACGACGGGACCAGCGGGGACGCGCCGGCTCATTGGTTAGACTGGAGGAGTGGGCGGGGCCAAGGGTCGAGGTGCGGCCAGAGCAAGGAGGCGCGAAGCGGGGCAAATCTGCAGCCGCTGGGGGAGGCGTGGCCCCGGGGGCGGCCGGGAAGGCGGTGAGGGGGCGGGGCTCGAGGCCGGGGCGGGGCGACCGTAGTCCCGGAGCCCAGCGGTCGGCGGCCGGCGGCGGGAGAGCGCGGGCGAGGGGAGCGCGACACTCGCTGGTTGGGGAGATCGGCGCTCAGCCGGTAGGTGACTGGGCGGGACCGCGGGGACCGGAGCGGGGCGCCGAGGGAGCGGCGGGGATGAGTCGCCCCTCAGTCCGGGGCCGGGCCGCGGCCTGGCCCGCCGCCCGGAATGGTGGGGGTCGGCGGCGCGGCCGGTCAGATCCACTCGCGTGGGGGCCCTCGGCGGCGGGCCGCGAACGCTCGCTTCACACCACGCTGCCAGGGCCAAGGTCGCACGCAGTGCTCGCCTCGCACCCCCGCAGGCCGCACACGCGCCCAGAGCGCGCGAAGGGGCGCCCTGCTTCCCCTTCCCCAGCACCCCGTCTCCCCGGCGCTCACCTGCCCCGCCGCCAAGCCCGCCCGTCGTGCTCCTCTCCCTGGGTGCCCCCAGGGTGGGAACTCGCCTCGGCTCGGGACGAAAGGTGGCCGATGCACAAGCGCTCCGGGTCTGTGCGCCCTCCCACCTGCCCTGGCAGTGAAACCCTCGGCCTTCCCTTGGGAAGTTCTCTGGTCACACCCGGAGGCGGGGAGAAGGCGCAGAGCCTGCCCTTGGCACCCAGCGGGGCAGTGCTGGCCACTCTCAGCATCCTCTTTCCTACCCTGACCCTTCTGTCCGCTCACTCAGGACTTGATCTGTGGGCTCCGGTGTAATATTCCCATCTGGGAAGCCCACGGGGCACCAGGCAGAAAGAGGCCTCTTGTACAGTGCAGACTCCCACCTGCCCAGAAGCCTCCTTGGTGATGGGTAACTTCAGAAAAAGCGTTTCCTTCCAAATTGGAGTTTTAAATGTTGCCTTCGGTCTTAAAAGGTGAACGGGGGAAGTAGTGTGGGGAGAAGAGGATGAATGGAGAAAACGTACAGAAATCAGTGGCGTAAGTGGCAGAATTATTTTTGTTCACTGGAGATAGTGAACACGAGTGATTTGATTAAGGAATCTAAAAGCCTAAGTGAAATTAAATGATGAGAAGTGGGGCCCAGTACAAAATAGCAGTCTGAAGTTCATTCCAGGAAAAATGTTGAAAACCCCTTGACTAGAAACATGGTCTGTCTGAAAGATTAGAGGCAGATAGTATCTTAACATTAGTGATGTGTGTTTTTTTTTACTCTGTATCTTCATACCTGTAAGCTCCTTTTTCCTTCAGACATCTGGGTGAAGACGTAAGACTGTGTTGTCCTCTTTTAAAGGTGAGGTACCTGAGGCAGGTGGGGGGGTTAGTATTCATCATAGCTAGAACTCAGGGTGAGGAGCCTGGGCCACTGGTGTCTTACCCAGGTTCCTTTCCCTGGACCAGGACCACACGAAGGGACTTAGTTGCAAGAAGAAGGGAGAAGTTTGGTGTGGTATTTTTGCTCTCACCATGAGAGGACAGGTGCTTGTGCTTATGATGTATTTGGATTTACTCTTGGGTGTTTTTTAAGTGATGTCAAAGTCAGTTCCTTGGGTGCAGTGATGCCAGACCTCTGACATCTTTAAAACATCCTCCTTTATTTTGAAGGGTGTGGCGAACTTCTCAGAAGGTCTCAAAAATAAAAGTTAGAGTCTCTGACTTTAATTTTTGAAATACGTACCCAGGTGTATGTTCCAGCCCTTTTGTAAAATCAGACAGCAGTATGCTGCCAAGCTTTAGGTCACCTTCTGCCTGTTTTCAGATTATAAGGAGCAGTTCTAAAGGGGGTTTTTTGGCCCTGGTATTCTCTATTAGGGTTTGTGGGAGCGGCACCACAGACAGAGACCCTGCCAAATGAGCCTTCATCTATTAAACAAAAATGTCTGGTTGGCCGTTTCGCCTCAACAGATGGAGGTTTGGTTCCTCATTTTGGTTCTCCTGTTGAACACTGACTCCTTTGTGATCTGCTTGGAGTGTTTGTATATCATTTAATGTTGAGAAGTAGGCTTGCCCTGATTGGTTGTCCAACTCCAGGCAACTGTTGTGATTTTTTTTTTGGTTCATGGTAACAATTCATCCTGGCCAAGGTCTGGTGAGAGATCTCTGTAGAGATGGGAAAGGCAAAGCTTCATCCAGGCTTGTTTTCTTTGTTGTTGGCACCCTCTTAAGAGCGTTCTATCATTTTGGCCCGAGAAGTCACTTTGAATTTCCTATTTTTTTTCCTGTCTCAGTGGATAGCACATGAGCGTTTCTAACAGGTCTGCCTGCCTTGATGAAGAGCTGACAGATTCATATTTGGTTGGCCTGACAGATGCTCTTTCTGGGAGGATAGTTAAGAAAAGTGTAGAACCAAACTCAGTCCTAAATTAAAAGTATAAGTCAGCTTGATACTCATATAGGCAGCATATTTGTACCAATGGCTTCCATCATCTCAAAGCTGTTTTTTTTTTTTCCTGGCAAAAGGTTAAAATGCAACTAAAATTCTGCTTTCGTGATTAATAAGTCACTACCGCAGTTGTGTCTGATGCTTCCTGTTTGCCCCATTTTAGTATTTCAGTTAAACTGGAAACATCTGAGCATTATGGGCACTTTTGATGGCACTGGTGTGAAATTGGCAGGAAGGGAGACAATTCCATGTCAGTGGATTTGGGGAACTGTAAGGATAAGCCAAGCCCTCTGCCTCGGCACACGATGGGAGGAAGGGAAAGGAGTGGGGGCTGAGCATCCTCAAGGGGTGGGATGAGCGTTTGAAGTGATGCACGTGTGAAGGCTTTGCATGTACTTGGTGATGCTGACTGAAATGTTGAAAGCAGATTAGAAATAGAAAGCTAAACTTAGGGCAAATTGGGTAGTAGAACATTTCAGTTGAGCTGAGTGAGACATTGAAGTATGTTGGGTATGGAGCCTTTAGTTCTTGGCTTGTCTTATTTACCCGAGTGATACTACAGAGAAAAGTCATTTTTCCTGAGTGGCCTGTGTGCCCTTCTTTGTATGAGTTTAAAAGATCCTCTTCCTGACTTGCTGTTTTACGTCATTTAACCCCTTATCCTCCTGATAGAAATCCCTTAAAATTATATGGCTTCAAGAGTAATGGTACTTTGTAGCCTTTTTTTTTTTTTTTTTGCTATTTTTTTACAACACTAGTGTAAAGAAAGGCAGGACCAAAGATCAGGAAAAGGAAGACTCGTAAGGAGGAGTAAAGTGGATGAGATTACTCAGGACGTCATTGTCATGCCCAGAATCTAAGCCCACATTTCTGGACCTCTAGTTCACTGCTTTGTCTACTAACCTACTCATGAAAGGTTAAATTGGGCTCCCCCCCCAAAACATGCCAGTTTTGAATGTAACTAAACCAGGCTGGTTGCTTTATTTATCTATTTATGCTAACAAGTATTGCTAACGATTATTAACTGGTGTTGGTTATTCATAATTACTTATTAATAAAAGGCTGAAAGATGAAGAGCACATCCTCTGGATGAATCTGCTTATCTTTGTTTTACAGATGCAGAAATTAAGGCAGAGTGGTCAAGTGTTTTGGCCAGAGCAATAGAGCAAGTCTGCGGTGTCTCCAATATCAAATGTGGGGGTTTAGGCTGTCAAGTCAGACAGACCTGGGTCAGGTCCAGGTCTGCCACTGTCTGCCTGTGTGACTCAGGCAAATCACTTCACTTCCCTGGGCATCGGGTGCCTCATCTGTAAATGGGATCAGAAATACTTCATGGGGTTGTTTCGAGTAGAAAATGAGAGAATATATATAAAGTGCTGAGCTCAGTGCCTCGCACATAATAAGCCACAGAACATGACGCCTATAAATGGTGATGGTGGTGGTCGTGGTAGTAATAGTCATGGTCCTCGTTGCCTTTTTTCTGTAAGATGATGTCAGGAAGGGTCAGGCTGCCTGACAGGGCAGTCATTTTCTCAGGAGGACCTCCGGGGGGGTGTTTCTTCTGTGTAGGGGTTTCGCTGTCACCTTCTTCCTGTCGTGTAGTAAATACTACCCTCACCACCCTCCAAAGGAGCCAACAGAGGCCCAGGCTGTGCCCGATCAGAGCTGGTGATCCTAAACCCAGGGCACCCTCGGCAACCCCCAGGACTCTGAGCCAGAAGCTGGGCTGGGCCTTGCTAGGACTCCCTTCTGTGCACCACCACCCCCATGTGGTGAAGGGGGTCCCAGCTTTAGCTCTGGAGATGAAAAATGGGAAAATACTGTATAGAATATAAGTCAGCAAGGACTTGTTCTTTGTTTGAGGGACTCAGAGGGAGATTTTGGTTCCGTGGGGTAAGGTTCTCACCACCGTCCTTGACCCCTTATAAATACATTTTTGTCAGCTTATTGCCACTACCATATCTGGGGGTCCTGGATCTGTAGTCAGGGGCTTGCAGATCCTCCTTTAATCACCCAAGGAAAAAAAGTTTCCTGCTACATTTTAAAGTGCTTTTTCCTCTTCTTAATACAAAACAAAAATATAGGCTCCCACCAGGCTGACGTTCCCTTTAAATAACATTTTGTTTTCTCTTGGGGAAGCTGTCTTCATGGCCAAAGAGTCATTTCTAAAGTGAACCTAGTTTTTAGAAAAAATAGATCACCGGATGTCAAGCCTCATGTGGAGCTCGGTTCAGATGAAAATGAAACCAGCAGGCCTGGAGTGGCAGCTCCACACTTGACTTCAGGCTGGAGGTGAGAGGCAGAGTGTCTGGACCCGGCTCACTAACTGGTCAGCCTCACAGAGTGCATTTGATAGGTGCCTTAGTCATTTTCCAGGCAGCTTTGCTTAGGTGAGCAGAGCACTTTCTCTAGAAGGTGAGTCACCCGTGCAGGGGTGTAGGTGACAGGCAACTTATTCCCCAGCACAATGGCAAAGGAAGTCTTGAGCAGACCTTGTCAAGAAGCCCTCTGCCACGGGGCACCTGGCTGGCTCAATCAGAAGAGCATGTGACTCTGGATCTGGGGGTCATGAGTTCGAGCCCCATGGTGGGCTTAGAGATTACTAAAAAAATAATAATAATAAATAAACTTAAAAAAAAAAAAAGAAGCCCTCTGCCAAAGATCACTTTTATTTCAGCTGAAGGGCTTTGGAGGCAGGGATAAGGAAACAAATGGGAGGCTCCCAAGGTTTGCCAACCAACAGAGA